CATATTGTAATTTTTTTCAGGCTTAATTGTGACCACGCTGACCCCAAAACGACACAGGAGAACAAATGAAGAGCAGCATCAGAGGGAAAGTAATGAAACGTCATTCAACAACACTTTGTCTCCGTTCCTTTGGTCAGGTCTGGGATACCTATTAACACTTCCTTTAAATTATTCATTCTAATGGATAAAACACCTCCACAATTAATAGCATGTGAGCCACCCAATCTGTTGAAGAGGCTGAAATTCACAATGTGCACTCGTTAAACATGCAATTCCTTTGCGCTGGACTTTTAAATATGGCACTGAATGTAAAAATAATAGGTAGGTAAATACGATAAATTGGATGACTGCTGATTAATGGGGATATTTTGAAATCTCTTTGTTGGGCCCCTTGAGGAGGAAGACAGAAAAGAGAGACGCCCTTCTGATATGAAACTTTCCTGTCGTTTGTGTATTCTGTTTCATGGACATCACTTCAGAGCAAATGAGCACCACACATCATCACACACTCATGTAATTTACATCACATTCCCAACCTTGCTCCCTGCACTGTGAAAGCGACATTCAGTGTTATATATTAATCATAAATACCATCAACATATGCAGAATTAATTGTCCTACTTCTGTAAGGAAGAAAGATTTGTGGGCGATGTTTCACTGTGGGGAGGTCCTCCCTGTCCAAGGTGTTTGTGTGTACGTGGTTTCATTTACCAGCTGCTAGCTTGCTGAACTGTACTGTTGTTTCCACGTGGAGAGGAATGGGCAATATATTTGTGCTTCAAGGATTAAGTAGGCAGAGACTGCAGTATTGATGTAGGACACAAACATAAAGGCAGACTGATGGCTGCTACTAAACTGATGTTAGTGTCAGTATTGACGTTTTTGTACAATGCCATCTCTAAAATGCAAATTGTGTAGAAGTCTGCTGTGCAAAAGCTCATCCAGGAAGAAGAGTGTGCTGCCCAGCTATTTATTGCTGCTGAATGCAACGCCAGCTCAAAAGGCTTCAAATCATCGGGGAGATTGTTAGGCTTCTGTGAAAATTACGGAAATGCACGGGAAATGGATGAGCAACACTTCATGACAATTAATCAGAGGCCGCTGATTAATAAAGTTCATTTTTTATTCTCGATGATTCAGGGGATTATCAAAAGGACACTGTCCTTGTCATTTTGATTAACAAACCCATCCTCACACTGGAAGAGGACGCGCTGAAGGGAGACGCTTTCTTTCGCCCATAAAATAAATATTGAATGAGAATATTAACTCGTTAACCTTGACAAGTATTTGTAATTTTCATAAGGGGGTAAACTAGCAGATTCAGCACAAAAAATGCTGTGGGGGTTTGTGAAAAGGCACAGGAAGAGGGGTGGGGGTCGACAACACACAACAAATTAGAGAGAATGAAGAATGCTACTGCATGAATCCTGTCATTTTTATGGGCTGCAATGATTAATTTGTTTGTTCAAATTCTCAATTAAGCCAGGAGGAACTGGCAGAATTAGAAAAGGAGAGCAGAGTGGTGTTGTCTTGGCTTTGCAAGCGCCCTGGGGAGATAGAGCCCTACCTGATCTCAGGTCAGAAGGCTATTGTGCAGACGGCTCACGCAGGGGTGTGGTGTATACGTCTTCAGGATTCATTCCAAACAGACATAAAAAAAAAAAGTAAATCAAAATGTTTCGTCAGCCCCCCGATAAATCATTCTGCCTTTCCCTTTCATTTGTCCAGGTCGCCTTGTCAAGGGTAATGCCCTTAAAATGTCAATTGTCAGTGTGAACATGCATTACATTAGCTATAAGTACAGTTCACCACACACCAAACACAGTCAGTCACGGCGTTGTACAGAAAGAAATAAAATATGGAGCTTGCACTTCCCTTTTCCCTGGAGGCCCCATGCACTTATTATTTGTCAGAGTGACAGATGTTTTTCAAATGATGATGTCTCATGTGTGCTGAACTTCTACCAAAGCCCTACCGTGAGGCTCTGCGGGACGCTGTACACCATCTGATGGCAGAAACCTCCATGGACCGAGTCTCTGTGCTGAGAGGCTTTCTGCAGGGGAAGTCTTAACAACACAGGCAGACGCTGTCAGGGTGGTCTGCTGAGGTGGGAGTACGTCACACGTTACCTACAGTACCTGGACCTGGACCCGCAGAGCAAGGACGCAGCAGCACAGAACTCAGAACCCAGAGTTAGATTTGCATATCAGGACTGAATTCGTTGAGAATTTGTTTTGGTGGCTGCAACAAACATTTAGAGCACAGACCCGAATATTAACATTGACAAAAAACAAATTTGCCGGTAACTTTGCGAGTACTCGGTTCAACAGACTGAGCAGAAACAACCTTGTTTGTCCAAGGGAAGCACTGAGGTAGCATCACCGAGCTAAAAAAGTTGTTAACGTGTGGCTGTCACCAGCACAGAGAGGTATTTTTGTTGCTTTCTTTCTCACCTTCAGCTCAAACCGTAAAGAATCAGCCTGAAGCATACTGCACATTTATTTAATTACAGAGATTTGTACCTATTTACTGATCAGAGATACCAAATAGTAGAAACTCTGATATGTATGGCGCACTACGAGGTTGCTTTAACAATACAAAACCTCAGATATGCAGAAATACATACTGTATGCTTAACCTGATGATATCCCAAAGCAAATGTCTAATTTTTGTTCCAGAAACATGTTTTTGAAATGGAAATAGCTGAACTTTTTCACTTAAAGGGGGAAGGCTCACTGCAAGTGATTTTAGGACCAAGTGTTGAGCCTGTGCTTTTCTTTATGCCCGTGTGTTTAAAATCAAGTACTACACTTATTAGACTGCTTCCACTCTGGCTCAGTAAAGTATTTGTTTACCCCCACAACTGTTTTGTAATAATTCAAATCAAACAAAAAGGGATACATCTTGTGCATTCAAGTGTAAATTGTCAAAAGAAATCAGCTAGAGAGAGAAGTGTTTTTGTTTTACATACACTGCAAATTCTTCAAGCGAAAGTGCAACTTTGTTATTGTGTTTACAACCATTATATGATTTTTGTAATGAAATCACAGTGTGTTTTCCGGACCAGTGAGTGCTTTTAATAGTGTTGGCCACCTTTCTTTTTTCAAATCAAGGTGTCCTCTATACAATGTGTATATCCAGAGCAGCAGCATTGACTAGAGCCAGCACTTGTGAAGCGAAAATGCTTATTAGTCAAACAGTCCCCATCGGAATAATGCCACGGTCAGCCGGTGGTGAGGGATAACTCTGTGTGGATGACACTCTATTCTGTAGGGGATCTGCTTTAGTACAGCCTGCACAAACATGATGTATGGACACACAAGCAGAAAAGCATCATGGGACCACACAATGAAAGAGCTGCAGATGAGTTACTGTAGCAAGAGCAGTGTTTGCATCGAACATGCTCTTCAGAACAATGACAGTGTGTTCTAGTTTCTGTTTAATGATCCATTTGCCCTGCAACCTTGATCAAATCTGTTGGCAAAAATAAAGCCGTTGAAATGGAATGATGATGACTGAACTGTAATGTGATAGGTAATGTTAAAGCCTATGGCCTCCAAACAAAAACCATTCAAGGTAGTTCTCTCTTTTTTGTTATATGTCCAAATTATTGCAGGTTATATCAGAAACTGGCACAGTGGAAATCTGGTCGTCTTCTGGAAATAGGCCCTTCCAGAAGCTTGGTGACGTCAGGGCTACTTCCAGGGCTTCTCATCAAGCTACTGTAGCCGGTGAGCTAATGGCTAACACACTATCAGACTGGGACAGTGCCAGCGCTAGTTAGTCACAGGTCACAGTTCTCAGAGCTCCATTCACGTTGTACTTTCATTGTTTACTCCCACCTTATGTTTGGTTCTCAGCTTAGTTTTTTTTTTTTATTTGCATACAACAGAAAATAGAAATAGAACAGCCATCAGACCTAAAAAAAGAAGGAGGAAAACACAATGTAAAAATACCAAAGAAGAAAACTGTCAATAAGAAGCACACAAGATGAAGAGTACACCAAACCAGCAGACGTAAAAAGAAAAACAAACAAACATATACTTTATACAAGTAAAGAAAAGAAAGATGTTCATATGAACAAGAACTAATTAGACATTACAAATTAAATATGATGATGATAGTTTCTCGAAAGACAGTCAGCGCTTGATAATGTGTAGTTTCACATTCCAGATCTCTAGAGCACAGAAGGTACGTCGTGCCGTGTTGAATATTGGGAGGGAGGTGCTGTATTTACCTGCAGACTGAAAAATGATTCTGCATCCTGATCTCAGCTCTTGGTTCGGGAGCTAACATTAGCTAGCAGCTGTCAGCAGATAACACAAACACTGCAGATGAATCAGTTTCTGTCCTGTCTGTGCTCAAAGTGAACACTAGAGTGGATGTTTGAATGTAGTTGAAGCTTCTGCTACTGAATGTAGCCGTATGGGATAGTATTTATCTTTTAAATTAACTTATAGATGTATGTAGTGTATATCTCTGTGATGGATAATGAGCGTGATCCCACCAAAATAGCACATTTACCCAAAATTCAACACGGCATGATGGCAACTTCATATTCTCACGAGCACAGGAAATCCTGGCCATGTTATGGTTTGTAAAAAAGTGACAATAGTGCGACCTGTCTGTTATTATGTAAATATATATAATTTTATTCAAATATACAGAAACTAGCTAGCATACTTAATCGGCGTTCCCTGTCAGTTAGCAAGCTTGTTAGCTTGGTTGCTAACAAGGGAGTAAGTTCACAGTTTATGCTAAAGATTTATTTATACCATTGTCTCTTAATGGTCTGCAAACCTCACCCCTTTTGTGGAGTAATTTATTTTCTGACAGTTTATAACTCTGGCAGTTTAAATAAAAGTGGACACATCAACACAGATAATAAGCTAAGACAGCTTCTTTGGTTTTAGACTCTGCCCCTCTGTGCCCTCAGAGGTCAGCACTGTCAGCATGGCTTGTCAGTGGTCAGCGGTACAAATTTGTATGTCAGAGTTCACCAAAAATGGCATGGCTTCCTTCACCCCCATGTGAACCCACAGAGTGTAGTGATTTCATGAAGTGAATTAATTTTGCCACAGAATTTTGCCTTTTTAAATGCTAGTGTGACTGGGCCTTAACAGAGTCATATTTAGTCTGACTTTCATTGCCAGGGCCCTTCAAGTTTAATACAGAAAGGTTTGTCAAAGCATCTTATATTTATGTGGAACATTTGCTGCGTATGGGGAAGGGGAAAATCAATTTCCCGCCCCTCTTGATAATTGATTGTATTTTCTGAGTGTACAGGAAAGATGACATGCCAGGTCTGTTAGCTATATGGTAGAAAAGCTGCGCACGTCTGTCTGTGTTAAAAATGTATAAAAATAGATACAATAGATCCCCGAATATCACCTCGTCGATTTGCTGCTATTTGCTGAATGCTGACATTAACATATATTGCTGTAGTAAAAAACAGAAACAACACAGACCCAGTTGTGTATTTTACTGATTTAATTCCTCATCTCCACTTAACAGTCTCTAAGACACCTCGTCATTAGCCGGTAAACCTTCTCAAAATAAACCCAATCCCATAAATCTACCTCTGAAGAAATCTGATACTTTTAAAAATGACAGCTAGTGACCTTGAGATTTATTTTTGTCACACCAGAAACTGTCTCCCTCAGCAACGAGAGATGTGCCTGTCCAGATGGTTTTGTGTGGCATCGTCTTGCTAATTGTCACTGATGCCATCAAAGGGATGTAGCGGACCTGACAACTTAGCTGATGAGCAATAATATGAGTATGAGGGGGGAAATTAGAGCCAAAAACATGTGACAGTTATTTTGTGCAGCCTACCTGTGCTTTTAAGAACTGTAAATGTTTTGGCTTCCTTTGTGTCCCGTATTTGTTGCAGACAAGAATAAAGTGAAAAACAGGATTATTATTAAACCGGGGTTCAAAATTGTTGTTACTGTTTAATTATTGTGCGTAAATACATGATGCTAGCTATAAATATGTTTGAAAATACAATAATGTAGAAGGAATATGTCCACAAGAGCATGCAGTATTAAATCCGGCCTCTGAAAACTGTCTCTATAGTTATAACATGTTCCATGTTTGTGAAGCTGTCACTTCTCTAAATTCACTTTAAGTGGAACAGGCTGCAGCACAGAGGGGCAGCAGTGTGTCTCTGGTGACTGTAAAACATGCAAGACAAAACATATGACGCAGGGGATGATCCTGACCTGAGACTGACATGTGCTAAAGTACATTATAGTCATTGCTAGGATAAAGGTCACATTGACTCCTGTTATAAATTGGGCAGGACAGCTCCAGCATACATGGAGTGTCAAGTGTGAGAAGGCCTGAAAGAAAATCCCTCGGTTGTTTGAGGACACACACACACAGGCGGGTGGATGAAAGCGTCTACTGTACATGGCGCTTTCATTTGTGATTAGCACATTTAATCATCACATTAAAGGAGAAGTCCGTGCTAAGTTCATCATATAATGGAGATGCAGGGAGTGAGATGTTTTTTCTGTCTTCACTGGGGAACCTGCTAGTCGTCATCAGAGTAATACAGAAAGGTGACATAACATCTGAAGTTCAGGGTTTATTATTGCTACTGTTTATACAGTTAATGAGTAAGTTCAGTTCCAGCTCTTCTGTTGCAGAAAACAAGTATAAATACCTGCTCATTTGAGGCATAATAGTCTTGTAACTAAGAATATCCTGCCTGGAACAGTAGTAAGCTCAAGAGCTCTGCTTTTGCTCTGAAATACAAAGGGAACCAACTTGAAAGGAAATAAGCAAATGATTGCAATGCCTCATTAGGCTGGTTTTATTTGACCGTAGCCAATTAGAGAGCATCTGTAATTTAAAACAGTCAACCTAAAAAAAGATTCAACCAAGAACACATTTCCCTCATGGGACTAAGTCCTTGGCCTTGTTTTCATTCAAATTATTGTTATTATTTTTCTTTTCCAGTGACATTTTCTATTTGACTGAATATAAATAATACACAGAGGATGCTGGCGTTCAGAAGTTTGCAGATAGGCAGCCTACAGTAGGAGTTTGTGAGTTAGGTCTGTGGGATTTCACTGAGGTCAAGGTTGCGTGCTGATGTGTGTTGGCCTTGCTCTTGGCTGCCTGCGCTCACTTGCTTTGCTGTTGCTTTGTGATCAATATCTCTCCCTCTGTCTTAATCAACGATCCGCTGAGGTATTTGCGGGCTGTTACCTTAATGACACAAAGGTGGACTTTGAAAACAGAGCTGCAGTCTGGGTTAAGACTGACAGCTGGTTTGGCTATGAATCACACCTGAGTGCAGATTAACACGGCACTCCTCACAAACAGAGGCAGCGCTGAAATATTGATAGGGAGAAGTCGGTTCTGAGGCTCGTGTGAGTGATCCACATCAAAAGATATGAGCAAAACAAGATCCCGACTGCTTACTTTGCAGGGGGAGCCTCGTGAAAAATAGTAACACCTGTATTGCTTATACTGGTTGTTAAGCATTGGAATAAAATTTTGTGCAATATGCATAACCAAATGCTGGAATAATGAGCCATCTGTATGTGTGGTCCCTTCCTCGGAGATGCCAAGAACGGCACCATCTGTGGTGCAGCTACCAGCTGTTTTCCTTCTTATTACATGTTTATTAAAAGCTGAAGTTGTCCTCTTCAAGAAGAGGAAAAGAGAGCATGGGTGGCAATGTTGGTTATCTGATTGCCTTCATCTCCATTAGAAACAGACTTGAGCTTCGTTCCTGGTCCTATAAAACTACACTAACTGTTTCAGCAGAACAGAGGGAGCGCTAATTAAATGCTCCTTCTTTTTCATCAGCAAGTCGCAGGAAATTAAGAGAACAAACACGAGACTGACTGGCAGCAAAGCAACAAACATGAAAGAGGATGAATGAATCGAATCCACCAGGACTGGGACTAAGTAAATAAATCATGCCACTTACTCACCATCACTTAGCCCTTTGGGTTTGTATTTCAAAATCCCGCAGCAGGGTTTACGCATCTTTTCTATTTGCATTGTTTTCAATGTTCAGAACCTATTAGCAAGATATTGATCAACCACAATTGAGCATTTATGCACAGCAGGCAACCTACATCCCTCAAGTCAAAATCTGATCGCATCTCCCATAATTGAGGTTGGCAGAACTGCAGACCACCCTCTGCAACTGTCAACAAATTTCAGGAGCTCAAACTAAGATGCGTCAGGGATGCATCCTGCGCCGAGTGATGGACACTGAGAAGGAGAACTGGAAATGTCCATCAGCATCCGCTGCCATGTGCTGAACAAGACAGGTCAGGTCTGAATAGACACTGACAAACCCAGGGTGGACACACTGTCGACGCGGACTAAAGCAATACCAAGGGACAAGTGACAGGCCGCTCTGATGCCCTACCTAACTGCAGCACACGCATGTGGGGAGGCAAAAATAGTGTGCGGCGGATCAGACACCCACGTGCATGCTCATCCTCACGACCTGCATGTAGCCTAATTTTCAATAGTCAAAATGCTGCACTGTGTGTTAATATGTGTGATGAGGGCTGGAGTCTAAAACAGCCAGCCGGTCTTTGTGACAGTGCTCCGGTTTCTGAGGTTACTGTGTTCACTTTGCTCAATGCTCAATAAAACACACAAAATGCCCTCTATTTCTGTATAAACAATTACCTGCCATAGATTGTAACCTTATTGGATCGAGTGAAATGTTTGAAATAAATCATTAAAGGCGCTG